GCAATTGATAGTTGCCACCATAGAGGCCAATTCATGAGGTTGTGGAGAAATTGTATCCGAGATGGTGATTTTTTTCAAACAAAATGAAATCTTGGATCCTCGGTTCATTCAGAAAGATTATCGAGTAATGTCATTAATGCAGAGATTGACTGAGTTGCCAGGATGGATAGAAGTGACTTGATTAAAGACAGGGACTCGCTACAGAAACTAGATGGGGTGCCCAATGAATTTAGGATCCTACTTGATTATAATGTTCAATATAGGAAAATGGAGAGTAGTATCATATTGGAATATTCTTTTGCAGTTGTCCCCACATCCTTTGTGTACAAAAAAGCTCCATCTCCACGAGACAGGCTGTCTCCGGGGTGAATAACCTCCCCCGGGGTGTAAAAAGGAAAATAGCCTAAGATCTTTTCTAACAGGATTCTATGCGTGTGGTTAGAGTAAAGGTTGTCGGTCCTAGAGGGCTAATAACAGGAGAGTGAAAGAATTTGTAGCCAAATCCATGGGAAGGAAGTACACATTGAAACTATTCATAATGTGCAATATTAAAGGGCTTATTCACATGCTAGAATGTCCATGCTGCCAACAGTATGTTGGCCACACTTCCAGACCTCTTCATATGCGTATAAGGGAGAATGTAAATAATATCAGAAAAAGTGGAAAACAAAAAGTACAGTGTATCGAAACATTCCAAAGATCACCATAGTACAGGTTTTAGAGGCCTGAAATTTTGGGCTATAGAGCAGGTTCCCAAACATTGGAGGGGTGGTCACCATATTAGGCAGATGAGTCGTGAATCGTACTGGATTTATGAAACCAGATCCAAAGGCTTTAAATATTGATTTCGACCTCAACTGTTTCATCAGTGATGCCTGGCAATTCCTGTTCTTTGATCCTAGAAGGGATAGGTGGGGTTCCTTTGCTTTAAGAGTTTTTTAAATGTATGTTAATTTTATATGGAAAGTGCAATGTTTTTGCTTTTAATATGTAATATTATAACCTATTATGCGTTTAATAATGTGCAGCTCTTTCATTTAAGTGGCGGGATGGCCAATTTGTATGATTGAGGATTAGAGTATAAAAGTGATTGTTTACTGCTCACGTGCAATATATTGTGTCTGTACTGGTTTATGTGAAGTCGCTGGAGACTGGAGTGTTTATTTTTGTCTTTTTGTTTGGAAATTTTAGACTACCTTTATGACTTTGTGTTGTTTATGGGAGCAAGAAGTAGCTGTATTTCTTGTGCTGGGGTCAGATTTAGTTGGATCGACCTTTGCAGTGTCATTTATGGTCACATAGGGACCCCTGCAGTATAATTTCCTGTCATATGAGTCTCAATGGCTTCACTTCCGGTTCAGGAGCTGCCCACGATGTCACTTCCAGTTCACTGGTGGTTGCTGTGGTAACGGCTTGGAGGGTATATAAGAATATCCTGCTGGCCTGCTCTGGTCCTACTGAGGAAGCCTGTTGATTGGACGTAACACATATGGCGGTGGAGCAGGGTCAGTTGGCAGCCATGTTGGCAGTGGAGGTGGTGAGACAGAAAGCTGACTGTGTTTGATATGTTCTGTATATAGCACTGTGTGTGCACTGACTTGTGGGTATCATTTTAAATCTTGAAAAAAATGTTTCTACTGTACAGAGAGCCAATATCAGTCCTATTCTTCTTTCATGAATGAAATAATGCTTCTTATGTGAGAGGAGGATCTGTGGAACAGTAGGAGCCATCTGTGGTGGAGTGAATCTGGAGTCATCCTGTTTGCAGTCCATGAATGGGGCATGTGACCCTTGAGTAGCCATCGGGGTCTAGTCTGGAGGTGAGCATATATTGCATATAATGTGACCAGACTGAAGACACCTGAAATAAAGTTAGCTAGAACTGGGCTTTAACATTTTCCTTAACATTGGAAGTTTGCCCCCAGTACCTCAAAACCCCACGGTTCAAGTGATTAGGTAAAAGAAAAAAAACCTTTGTTCAAGTAAGGTATCAGGAATCGGCTAGCCTATTGGACCTAGAGACAACCTTCCTAGGTAAAAAGTAGGCATTGGGAGGAGCCTATTAGCTTTACCAGACAGTAGGTAACATGAAGGCCAGATGGTTTCTGAAATAATGGAGAACATTTTTCTCCAGAAGCTGGTGAGGTTTTTACAAGCCCAGGAGATGTAGATAAGGTTCCTGACCTCATCACATCCCTTCAAACAAAGTGGGGATCTGGATGTAGAAAATTGTGAAAGTTGGTATGGTGTTGAGTACCAGTGGATTATTAGTTTTTGGGTTTGTTCCCAATATGCAACACGATGTGACATTAAGTAGTTGCATTGGATGGCTACCAACCATTGATTCTTGGAGTAGCATTTATGTAGGTCTACTTCCCATTTGAACATGGGATGATTTTTTTGTAGAATGTCAGTTTGTTTTGTAAGGCATTGTAAAAAAGAGAAATGCCTTTTTGAATGCCCTGAGGAGATGAGAGGAACGGCTAGATTGCTTCTGGAATCATTGTGTGTGTGTGTGGAGGCTAATGTTCGTTTTTGAAGTCTGCTTTAATTGTTCACTCAACCCTTAAAATCAAGATTATCATTCTACCCTTACACTTAAAATATTAAGTTTAAGTGTCATGCGGTTTGGTGGAGTCACTTGGGAGGAGTTACTAAAACCGAAGCGTGCAAAATTGGGTACGGCTGTGCATAGAAACCAATCAGCTTCCAGGTTTTATTGTCGAAGCTTAATTGAACAAGCCGAAGTTAGAATCTGATTGGCTACCATGGACAGCTGCCCCAGATTCTGAGTACTCCAGTTTAGTAAATCTCCCCCACTGTGTCACCAGAATGACAACTGACTGTCAGGTAAGACTGACAGGTAAGTCCCTCAGACAAATGGTCAAAGAAGACACATTGTAGTAGAGACAGCAGAATGATGGACAGCCCAGGGGTGGACTGACCATTTGGAAAGTCGGGCACTGCCCGAGGGCCCGGGGTCAGTGGGGGGCCCCATGAGATGCCCCTGGTACCTTTTTTATAGGCTTTTTTTGAGTTTGGGCAAGGACACAGGGGCCCCATGATCCCCTATTGCCCGGGGGCCCCATGAGTTGTCAGTCCGCCCCTGGGACAGACTAAACATTAGGCAAACTGATCCTAAACAGAATGCTTGAATCCATTGCTCTGTCTACTTGTCTGGAAGCTGCAATCATAGGTGCATTTAGCCAGATGACCGAGTCAGATAGACCTCCATCTAGATCAATTCACCCGCTGACCAGGAACAGGCTGAATGCCCAGCAGTCTAAATAAGCATTCCAGATTAGGATAGGTGTGTACTGCAGAGGCCATTTACAAACTATGTACACTTAATGGACCACAATTATGCAAATGCTCTATTCTGGTAACGGTTTGTAGCTAATAAAAAGAATTCAGTAAAATAATATTTCTTTTAATTCACATGCCTTTTATTTATATTTTTCTCCACATTTACACTGTCCGCAAAAGTGACAATGATCTATTATCATAAAAGTTGTGCCCATCCCTTGTTTAACTATTCCTCCACACACAAGGGACAAATAAAAATAATTTATGCAATGTCCTAAAATTGGATACAAATTCATACAATGTTCATCTATAAATATATTCATACACTAATAAAGTGAGTAAAAAACTGTCAAAAGTCAATTTTACTTATACTGCCCAGTAAATCACCAAGTGCTCCACTCCTGATCCTCTGAGAAATCTCTCTATTGACCCTTCTGTAAAGAACGAGTCAAAATGCACCTAATGGCCAACTTTTTTTGACCTTCTTGCTCTTCATGTAAGCTCAAAGGAAGGTTAAACATGCAAGAGCACAATCTTTTTTTTTTTTTTTTTTTCTAATACGTTATATTTACTGTAAAAGTAAAACTGAAGCATATGTCCTCCTTTTTTTTTTTTTTTTTTTTTTTTTTTTTTTTTGGTACTTTGAAAAGTAAAGCTTTAAAACATTTGTCTTCCTATATTTGGGACTTAAGTTATCCTTCATCCAAGGTTATGTACAGTATGCCTCAAATCATTAATAGGCAGCAGAAGACAGTTGGGCACACAGGTGCTGTAGCTCACTTTTAGATGTCTTAGGGTCATGTTACTTAATAGATACCTAGGCTTGCTTGGGCTAAGCATTCATGCATAATATATGAAGATGGGCAGAGGAGAAAAGTGACATTTTTACTGGGTTCTAACTATACTATAGGGGTAACCAGGGGCGGACTGACAACTCATGGCGATCACGGGGCCCCTGTGTATTTGCCCAAATTCAAAAAAGCCTATGAAAAAGGTACCAGGGGCATTTCATGGGGCCCCCTACTGACCCGGGGCCCTCGGGGCAGTGCCCAAGTTTCCAAATGGTCAGTCCGCCCCTGGGGGTAACAATGAATACCAAACAAGGCAGCACAGAGGCAAAATGGTTAGCATTTCTGCCTGGCAGTTCTAGCGTCACTGGTTTGAATCCTAACCATGGCACTACCCTGCCTGGAGTTTGTATGTTCTCCCTGCACTTGCGTGAGTTTCCTCCAGGTACTCCACTTTCCTCCCACGCTCCAAAGACATGCTGGTAGGTTAATTGCCTCCTGTCTAAATTGGCCCTAGTATGTGTATGTATGAATGTAAGTTAGGGACCTTAGAGTGTACGCCCCTTGAGGGTTAGGGACTGATGTGAATGTACAATATAATGTATGTAAAGTGCTGCGTAAATTGACAGCGCTATATAAGTACCTGTAATAAATAAATAATAACCTGTCCCCACTACAGACTGTTGGTTAGATGGGTTTGTAGGTGTCATGTATATTGGTGGAGCCTCAGTGTCACCAGAGAGACACCGGACTGACACGCAGTTTAAGTCCTCAGACAGGTCAGTGCAATCAACACATTGTAGTAGAGTAAGCAGGCTGATGGACAGACCAGGTACCTTAGCCTAGTGAATATTTGGCACCAATGGTGACAAAATAATAATTTCCAAAACTAATTTGGAAATTGCTTTATTCTCTGATCTCACCATCTTCTTCCTCCTCTTCTACTCCACGTATATATAACACATTATTACACCTTATTAGAACTTCTCCAAGATGTCCAGACCAGGGGCGGACTGACCATTCGAGCACTCGGGCACTGCCCGGGGTCAGTAGGGGGCCCCATAAAATGTCCCTGGTACCTTCTTTATAGGCTTTTTTGGGTGTGTTTTGAGTGTGGGCAAGGACACAGGGGCCCCATGATCCCCAATTGCCCGGAGGCCCCATGAGTTGTCAGTCCGCCCCTGGTCCAGACAATGATCCATCAATATACTCTTCTGCATTGGTGAGTTGCATGTTCGTGTAGCCATCCACAGAGACCAGATATCCCTTGTATTCCATACCCCACTTCAGTTTCACCATTACTGGCTTACCAGTAAGGCCATTAAGGAATGCTTTTGGGTTTAGTTGCCCACTCTCTGGTTTTTTTTGTTCTATTATTTTTTGGTTACAGTGACAACGCCTATCTTTAAGCGGAAGGGTGCTGGTACATGCATATACACTTTTATCAACCTCAAATGTTCTTTTTGAGTGATGGACAGACCAAACATCAGGCAAACCAGTCCTAAACAGAGTCCAGTTTTTAAACAAATAGAGCAATGAATCCAAGCAATCACAGGTGTAAACCAGGACCAAAAACATTTAGACAGATGAGAGAGTCAGACAGACCTCTATTTAGAAAATCTCAGCTGCTAACCAGGAAAAGGCAGAATGCCTAGCAGTCTACTTAACCATTCTTGATTAGAGTAGGTGTGCTGCAGAGGTCTGAGCTGCAGTGCTTAGTGATGACCAACAGATGGCAAAGTCTCAAGGCTGATTGTTACAACAAGACACCCATAAGGGTATGATCTTGGCCATATAACTATAGTCTCATGTCTATGGGTAGTCATAGAGCGGCAGATGTCTGATTTAGATTGACAGGTAGGACATATTTGCTCATTCTTTGGCAGAGCCCATTGCTACAGTGTCTTTTGAAGGCAGATGGTCAGTACAGTAGTTGGCTACTCCCTTCCATATTCTCATCGAGATGGGTAATTGGACATGTCCACTTCTTATTGCATATAGGAATATTTTCTCTGTAGTTTTCATTATCGCCCTCTTTGGTAGTCCTGAAACCGTGTGGGGCAGTTGGCCAAGCTCATCGATCAAACTGTTTTTCTAAATGTCATACAGTATCCATCTTTGTATTTGTGCTGCATGTATCACAAAAAATGTAGTTACATCGTAATGATTAGTGGGGTCATATACTGTTTATGTTTTTGTAGCTTGCAGGATACAGAACTCGAAGAGAAGGCTCAGCCTATTGATCATTAACCAAGAAAGCTCTGTCATTGTTTTGTATATATCACCTATTGAGCGATATCAACCAGGATCTGTTTGCTTTCCTAGTTTGTGTTTAACTAGAATGGGAAGCATAAAGAGAACTGGACTTGAACTCAAGAGGACTCAGGTTCATGGTGAAATTGCCGAGGACACTGATCGCTTAATAAGCAAAATACAGCTTGGTGTAATAGAATTTGAGTAGTGAGGACATCCAAAATAAATATTTTATTTATGTATGGGGATCGATGACTCGGATTTAAGTTTCACGTGGGGCCAGATCACCACAGCTCCGTCCACAGCAGTAAGGCCCTGTTTATGCTTGCATTTGTGGGGTGGGGAACACGTGGTTGACCCATGATTTTACTGCTCCCCCTTAAGCTGCAAAGGCAGTACACTGGACACATGCCTCTGCACAACATATCCCACTTATTGTGTTTGGTGGGTAGTGCTGTGCCTATTCAACTAAATATGGCCACAAAGCAATTGCCCCAGAACCACATACAATACCTGTAATTGCAGTGAAATGGTACGGTTTTTAAATGATAAAGACCCCTTCCAGTATTTTTTGTGCTCACTAGTAGGAATTATTCTCTACTTATCTTGAAAATGTATCAGGAAGTAAAAAAGTCCCTACAAAATTAGAGGACTTCCCCAGACAGTTTCTACTGGGTTAGGTGTCCCCATTGGAAGGTATCGCCTCTTTTCCTATTCTGGTGACAACTGTAAAATTATGGTTTTCTCATCACTTTCTGTCTTGATGGCAAAAGTCACCAGGGCGGCTAGAGTGTGGGAATCTCCTTGACATGGACAGCCTAAAAAACCTTGTATATTAGTTCTCTAATGTGGTGTAATTTTTATACTTCCAATGCTATTGGATATTTGGTTGTAATTTTTATACTTCCAATGCTATTGGATATTTGGTTGTAATTTTTATACTTCCATTGCTATTGGATATTTGGTTGTAATTTTTATACTTCCAGTGCTATTGGATATTTGGTTGTAATTTTTATACTTCCAATGCTATTGGATATTTGGTTGTAATTTTTATACTTCCAATGCTATTGGATATTTGGTTGTAATTTTTATACTTCCAATGCTATTGGATATTTGGTTGTAATTTTTATACTTCCAGTGCTATTGGATATTTGGTTGTAATTTTTATACTTTCAATGCTATTGGATATTTGGTTGTAATTTTTATACTTCCAATGCTATTGGATATTTGGTTGTAATTTTTATACTTCCAATGCTATTGGATATTTGGTTGTAATTTTTAAACTTCCAATGCTATTGGATATTTGGTTGTAATTTTTATACTTCCAATGCTATTGGATATTTGGTTGTAATTTTTATACTTCCAATGCTATTGGATATTTGGTTGTAATTTTTGTACTTCCAATGCTTTTGGATATTTGGTTGTAATTTTTATACTTTCAATGCTATTGGATATTTGGTTCTAATTGTTATACTTCCAATGCTATTGGATATTTGGTTGTAATTTTTGTACTTCCAATGCTATTGGATATTTGGTTGTAATTTTTGTACTTCCAATGCTTTTGGATATTTGGTTGTAATTTTTATACTTTCAATGCTATTGGATATTTGGTTCTAATTTTTATACTTCCAATGCTATTGGATATTTGGTTGTAATTATGACTCTAAGAAGGGATATTTTATTGATATAGAGATGTCCTTATGTTTCAAGGAGGTATTTTTGAACCCGCAAAACACACTGGCTATTCTTTGGAATGTCCCCATGACTTTTATTGGAATAAAGAAATATCTGGACTTTTTAGCAAAACCTGACAAAGGATCTATACCTAAGAAGAGTTTTTTTTCACACCACAGCACACAGAAAATGCATGCGTGTTGATGGGTTTTGGCGTGTTTTTCTATGCGCTGAGCTGTGTTCGTACCTGTGTTTTCTTCTGTACAGGTCACATCAAGAGTAAAAATTTTAACATCTTCTCTTTTCTTTTATTATGATAGATGCATTGCATCAACGCTCATTGCCATGTGTTTGTGTCCATCAAAGAAAAATACAGATATGTTGCATTTTTATGCAACACACCTGTATAGTGTGAACAGGGCACATCAAAAATAATTAACGGACATTGTGTGAATGAGTCCTAACACTCTCACCATTTTCCTCCTATTGCAGCTGTCAGAGTGATGTGGGTTCTGGCACAGTAGTGTTCTGAGAAGCCTGCAAGTGCCAATACCATTGTGCTCATTTCTTCTGTTCCACCAATGTCTTCCCCAATATGCAGCTGTCAGTTCTACACTGCAGAGATCCATGTGCATCTCAACCAATTAGTTACATGTACTACAGCACAGCTAGCAAGGAGAACTGGCAGTTGAAGACCAGATATTGGAGCTGTGACAGCCATTGGGACTGCAGGGGACTAGAAAGGGAGAGTGCAATGCCCCGGTCCTCTGTGAGCTGCTCAGAGGTGGTCAACTACGCTTTATGTACCTCCTCAGACTTAGTTCCAATCGGCAATCTGCTCTGATGGCTCAGCTTTGCAGATTTTCCACTTCTGGAATATGCGCACTTATGCTAGTCTAAGGTTCCAGATTTTCAGAATGAAATCTGAAGTGCAGGATTAAGTAACACAGAAAGTTCAGGGGTCAGGAGTAAGTTACAGAGTTCAGGGGTCCTGTTTAAGTAACACACAGTTCAGAGGGTCAGGATTAGGTAACCCTGAACATTCAAGGATCAGGAGTAAGTACCATAGATCAGGGACCAGGGTTATGTAATGCACAGAAGTCAAGGGTCAGGATTAAATAACACAGAGCTCAGGTGTAAGCAACAGAGTTCTGGGGTCAGGAACAAGTAACACAGAAAATTCAGGGGTCAGAATAAGTAACACAGAAAGTTCAGGGGTCAGGAGTAAGTAACACACAGAAAATTGTGCACCAGAGATCAGTTACCAAGACTATGTAATGCACAGATTTCAAGGGTCAGGATTAAATAACACAGAGCTCAGGAGTAAGCAAAAGAGTTCAGGGGTTAGGATCAAGTAACACAGAGTTCAGGGGTCAGGATCAAGTGACGCACCAGAATTCAGGGGTCAGGATCAAGTAATGCACCAGAGTTCAGGGGTCAGGAGTAAGTAAGAGAGAAAATTCATGGGTTAGGAGTGAGTAACACACAGAAAGTTCAGGGGTCAGAATAAGTAACACAGACAGTTCAGGGTCAGCAGTAAGTAACACACAGAAAGTTCAGGGGTTAGAAGCAAGTAACACAGAAAATTCAGGGGTCAGGAGTAAGTAACACAGAAAATTCAGGGGTCAGGAGTAAGTAACACAGAAAATTCAGGGGTCAAATAAGTAACAGAGAAACTTCAGGGGTATGGAGTAAGTAACACAGAAAATTCAGGGGTCAGGGTCAAGTAACAGAGTTCAGGGGTCAAGATTAGGTAATGCCATTGCCTTTAGTTATTCTTTAAAGTGGAACTTTAGGGGGATGAGCCTGAGCATGGCCCCGATAGGGAGCTCATGGTGAGCGCTCCCTGACAACAAGCGCTCCCTATGACCCACTACATATAGAGGCCCGTGAGACGGTAACTCACCCAGGGCTTTGGTGCTGTCCTCTGAAGGGTCCGACCTGAGAGCGGTGACCCCTCTGCCACTGTGTCGCTAAGCAGAGGGGTGAGCTGTAGGAGAGAGATGAGGCGTAGTACGAGGAGGGGAGACGGACTCCGCCGGAGCCCGGAGCAGTGGAAACCGGGTGGTCACATGACTGCCACAGAGGAGTACTGGGAGGCTTAATGAGCAGATGGCTGAACACAGAGGAGAGGGCATTCCATATACAGTGGGACTGCCCAGGACCCACAGAATTCCACAGGGGAGGTACCCTCCTGATACCTAACAGGCATTAATACACAGGAACACCTATTATCAGTCATCAGGGAACAGAGATAGGCCCCGTATCCTCATATTACACCTTCTATCAGTGATTGCACAAGGAGAAGACTTGACTGAGACAATGGAGAAATTGTTTAATACAATAATGGACAGATCAGCAACAGCGCACCTGAAGATTGGTAGAGTACACAGAATAGGAAGACCCCATGGAAGCGGAAATGGAAGACAATCTTAGAGATGTGATCATACATTTCCATTACCACAGAGATAAAATGAAGCTATGAAGGAATATAAAGGGAAGATCAGTAATAATATGTCAGCAAAAATCTGTAGATTTGCGTCTCCATATTTTAATGGAAAGCTTGGTTAGAAGAGGAATGTTGAAACCTTTATTGGAACAGATGAGGAAACAGAACGTACTATATAGTTGAGGATTACCAGCATTTTACATAGTTAGTTTGGCTGAAAAAAGACAAAAGTTCAACCATAGAAAAAAAAAAAAAGTTATAATCCTATACCCACAGTTGATCCAGATATGTCTAATAAGATGGAAAGATGGTCGCTCTGCAAGGCTGAGATTTCCAGAAGATTTGAGACTTCTCTGAGAGACTTGAATTACAGAGAATAGACGTTCCAGGCTGGGGAGAAGGGGGAAAAGAAAACAGGGTTACAGAATATGAGAATTGGCAGTTAACCACTAGGGGGAAAAGGCACCAAAGATAAAATAGAGGAGAGGGAGGAGGAATGAGAGACCAATCTTTTTTTTTTTTTTTTTTTTTTTAAAGAACATAGGGGGCCTCCCTTTTTTTTTTCTTCTGCGGTCTGGAGGGGCATGTGTGGTCGCAGCGCCACCCTAGGATGGGATCAACCGTGTGGCTAGGACCACGAATGATCCAAAGGCAAGTCAAGGGCCTAGGGGGAGTGGGGGTGGGATATAAGGTGGGAGGGAGGGGGGAAGGGAAATTGTGTAGGAGTTAGCTCCGTGCTCCTTTGGAGGGATGACGGTACTCTCATTGGAAAATAATATATATACACAGGAAATTAAGGAAGTTAGTTTTATGACCTATAATGTTAAAGGGCTGAATAGCCCTGGGAAAAGCATAAAATTCTTAGAGAACTACAACAACGAGCCATTACAGCCATTACAGTAGCTTTCTTACAGGAAACCCATTTAATATAGGAAACAAATGTAAAGCTTTACTCTAAATACCACCCAACCTGGTATTATGCAGATTCACCAACTAAACTTGCTAAAGGTGTCGCAAATGGTATAGCAAAACATGTAAGATTTAAACTGGAAGATAAGGTGGTTGATCCTGAGGGGCGATTTCTTGTTTTTGAAGGGGAGATTACAAGAAATAGAGATACTTCTCTCCTGCACATGCAACGTCTTCTAGATTAGACTTCATATTGTTAGAACATAGACTCATGGAATCGGTGGTTAGAACAAATATAGAAGATACAACTCTATCGGACCATGCACCTGTCACAACAAAATTATTATGGGGAAGAGAGCAGGATAAGAGAAACACCTGGAAACTAAATGAGACACTCGTTCAGGATCACGAGACGGAATTAAGAATAAAAAAAGAGATCGAACAATATTTTGAAAGATATGAGACTGAAGGAGTTTTGATGGCCATGGTGTGGGAAGAACATAAGGCATACATCAGGGGAATTTTGATAATGATTAGAGTAAAGAAAAAAGGAATGGCAAACAAAAATGAATACACTTCTAAGTGAACTATACAAACTAGAACATTTACATAAAAAGAGAATAACAAATGAGATACAGCAGAATATAATAAAGAAGAGAGATGAACTATGTAACTTAATGGAGGAAGAAACGAGGAGAACATTTAATATGAGAGAGATATCAGTGGGGGAATAAACCTGTTAAATATCTAAGATTTTTTTCCACCAGGGAAAGAAAATATCTCAGGTAAATGGATTAGAAAAGGGGATGTACAGTTAAAAGATATAATGAAGGGAGAAGAAATATTGGGAATAGCACTAGATGAGCAGCAGAGAAAGAAAATATCTAGATTGACACATGGGGCTGTAGATATGAAAGTAGTGGAAATGAATTATAAATGTTTAGCTAGATGGTATATCACACAGAGTGTGGCACATAAGCAATGAGTAGATAAATCACCCCTGTGTTAAAGGGGATGTGAGAGTAAGGGCACAATGGCACATATTTGGTGGGAGTGTCCTAAAATACAGAAATATTGGGGGGAAATAATACACCAAATACAAGGGATTACTAAGGTTAGTATCCCGAAAGATTCAGGTAGGTCATGTTTATTTCATAAAACAGAGACCACTGTAGAAAAATATAAAAATTTGGTGATATATCAGCTTATAAATGCGGCAAAGGGACTCATACCTAAATTCTGGCTGGCACAAGAAGAACCGAAAATAAAGGACTGGATAAGTAGGGTAGATTGAGAGTTGGGAAGGGGGGGATTAGGGAGGGGAATTGTTTAAATGAAATTGTTATTTGCATTTGAATAATATGATAATGTATTAATGTTCAGTTAAAATATTGAAAATTAATAAAATATTTATTAAAAAAAAAAGATTGGGAAATGCCATGATGTTTAGGGTGTCAGCTCCTGGGGATAAATTAGGGGCTGCCCATTTCATGTGGATAGACCCATCACAACAGGGACTGTTGCTGGGAAATGGGGACAGATGGTAACCTTACAGTACTAGCATAAGCATTCCTGGCATTGTTCTAGTTTGTCCCAAGCTCTCTTGTGTTTTTATGCAGACTAGTGACCCTGACCTTTGTGTTTTGCAGTTAGTGAAGACAGCAGATCTCGACCCTCGACAAAACTATGTGGTAGGTTTCCACCCTCATGGTGTTCTGGTGGCTGGAGCCTTCACCAATTTCTGTACAGAGGCCACTGGGTTCCCTGAGCTGTACCCCGGGATTACACCATACCTGCTGATGTTACCCCTCTGGTTCAGAGCGCCATTCTTTAGAGACTACATTATGGCTGGTGGTAAGTATTATATGGGAATCCAACAGAGTTCAGGAACAGTTCATGTACATGTCAGGAGCTTAGAGGCCACAAAAGATGATTTAAAGACTCATGACTTGTAGTGAAGCAGATGTATGGAGGACATGCATAGAACTCAAGGGCTGTCTACAAAGGCACTGCAAAGAGGGGCTTTTATACAGGTGAAACTCGAAAAATTAGAATATCGTGCAAAAGTTCATTTATTTCAGTAATGCAACTTAAAAGGTGAAACTAATATATGAGATAGACTCATTACATGCAAAGCAAGATAGCCGTGATTTGTCATAATTGTGATGATTATGGCTGACCGCTTCCATGCCACGCCGCATTGAGGCAGTAATTGCTGCAAAAGGGGCCCAAACCAAGTACTGATTACATATGCATGCTTATACTTTTCAGAGGTCCGATTCAAATGCACTGTCTTTGCGAACTGCTGCGCGTGCCAATACGTTGTTACCTGTACCTCAAATGTACTGTAGATTGGAAATGAAGTGCATTTGAAGGCACCCAATTGCATTGTATCACAGTACCATGCGAATTTAGTGTGCCGTATTCTTTAAAAGTAGAGCATACACTAGTTGTGGTGCAATCTGCTGCGATTTCAGCCCATTCAAATGTTACCATGTGATTCTGGTGTGAACCAGCCCTTAAAGTGTATGCAAAGCTGTTTTTTTTTTGTTTTTGTTTTTTTTTATAGAGTAGGAAAATATAGAACCACTATCTGGTTATACAATAACTTGAGCAGGGGCGGACTGACAACTCATGGGGCCACTGTGTCCTCACCCACACTCAAACCACACCCAAAAAAGCCTATGAAAGGTATCAGGGGCATCTCATGGGGCCCCCTACTGACCCTGGCCCTTGGGCACTGCCCGAGTTTCCAAATGGTCAGTCTGCCCCTGGACTTGAGTCTCCATTAAATAAAATATTTCCCCTCTTTCTGCCTCTGCTATGTCAGACAGGAAATGAGAGAAATCTTCAGCAGAGAGACAGACAAAAAATTTAAAAAATTGTCTGGGTCTCTAGTCTTCCCTGCTTTACTAAACAACATAAATCCGCTGCGATTTCAGCCCATTCAAATGTTGCCATGTGATTCTGCTGTAAACCGGCCCTTACAGTGTTTACAAAGCTGTTTTTTTTTTTCTTGTTTGTTTTTTTGGATAGAGTAGGAAAAAATAGAACCCCTATCTGGTTATACAATAACTTGAGGCTCCAGTAAATAATTATTTCCTCTCTTTCTGCCTCTGCTATGTCAGACAGGAAATGAGAGAAATCTTCAGCAGAGAGACAGACAACAAATTAAAAAAATTGGCTGGGGCTCTAGGCTTCCCTATTCTACTGAACAACATATTACATTTTATTGTACAGTATTTGGGTCCTAAGTGCAGGTGATTACTATTTAGCATATTACATTTTTATGTTGCTGTTGGAGAGTTCCCTTTACTCTCTATCTGATAAAACCGTTGTCACCAGACCTGCGTTAAAGTGTGCATAACGCACACTTTGGACTGCGATGGGCATCTGCTCAGCACTTTTTTTTTTACTTAACTACTTCAAGTCCGGACACTTTCACGCCCTTCCTGTCCAGGCCAATTTTCAGCTTTCAGTGATATCACACTTTGACAATTGCACGGTCATGCAACACTGTACCCATATGAATTTTTTTAAATTTTTTGTGAGACAGCTAAAACTTTATTTTGGTGGAATTTATTCACCACTGGGAGTTTTATTTTTTGCTATATAAAGTCCAAACATTTTGAGAAAAAGTTTTTTTTTATAAAATTTTGCAAATAATCCTTCTTCATAAATCTTGGCCAAAATGTATTCAGCTATCTTTTTGGTAAAAAAATTAACCTAAATTAGTTTATAACCAAAAATTATAATTTTTCTAAAAAAAGTTTTTTTCCATTTTAATATATGTTTTTTTTTTTTTTAACACTGTCACCCTAGCAGTACAGTGTCACCATAGTGACACTGTACTACTTGTGGGGGGTGATGAAGATTTTTTTTTTTTTTTTTTTTTTTTACACGGATTGCTTTTACACCCATAAAGAATGTAAAAGCAATTCTTTCTAATTCTCTCTAGCTGCTTCACTTCAACTGCTGAGTGAGCTGTGATTGGTCACAGCTTGGCACATGGTACAAGGCTGTTGTGAATAGCCTTGTACCATGTGACCTCTGTGATCATTCACAGAGTTCACACCAGGGGCAGACTGACAACTCATGGGGCCCCCAGGCAATAGGGGATTTTTTTTTTTTTTTTTTGTACACTGATTGCTTTTACACCCATAAAGGCTGTAAAAGCAATCATTTCTCCTTCTTTCTGGCTGCATTCTTGCAGCCATTGAAAAATACTGTGAGAGCTGTGATTGGTCACAGCTTGTCACATGGTACAAGGCTGTTGTGAATAGCCTTGTACCATGTGATCTCTGTAATCATTCACAGATTTCAAAAGTAGTAAGCAATGATGGCAGGAAGTGACATCTTGCTTACTACTATTCATGTGATCACTGATTGGTCAATCAGTAACCACATGATCGGGACCTCACACAGAGGTCCTGTACAGCGACCGGTGTTCCACTGTGTCCGAAGGACACATCAGGCACCAGATCGCGGTACCACGCGCTTCCCAGGAGTGCGCACAGGCAAGAAATGCGGAGGCCGTTTATAAACGGCTATCCGCACCTGCACTGCTCCCATCCGGCTGTTTATGTACATGGGCCAGACGGGAAATGGTTAAACTTTATTTACTAAAATTTTACACTATTTAACTATGCAAAGCCACATGTTTCAATGCATTCTAGTAAATCGGAGTGCAGTGAATAGCAAAAAAATATGCCGTATTGTTTCAATTGACACCAGCAGCTCATTCGTGTATACTGAAAGAATATGACATAAGGGAAATTGCCTTTTCTATGCACTGGAACTGCACCGAGGGTGAATGAGCTTTAAAAACCCAATATGGGCTCCAATTCCTTCCCCTAAACTAAGAAAAAAGGATTAAGGTGGACATACATTTTAAATATATAGATGGTCCATATCAAAATTCAGAGACCCTGTTTTTAGTCACCACATCAGACAGGGGACATTGTTGACAGAAAAAAATGAAATTCCATACATGAAAAGGATAATTTACTATAAAATGTAGAAAATCCTGCTGGACAGATTTATTATTAAAAAATTTGATAACATGCAAATCCCAAATTTGCTTCCTGATACCATTGTGTATTTTATTTTTCTTCCTCTGAATCAGCTGGGGCTTTGTATGTATGTATGTATGTATGTATGTATGTATGTATGTATGTATAACTACCTATCCATATTATTATTATCCTTTCCTAGGACTGATCCCCTCTGACAAAGAAAGTGCTTCCTATTTGCTGAAGAACAAGAAGGGTGGAAACGCCATAGTCATTGCAGTGGGTGGAGCACCAGAGTCACTGGACGCGCGACCTGGTGCTTTTACATTGCTACTAAAAAACAGGAAAGGATTTATCAGGCTGGCAATACAACATGGGTAATGCTATTTAAAGTGTTGTTGAACATTAACAATGAACTTCTATTATTTGCTCCCTTTTGATCTCTCAAATACACAATCGAAAATGTTTTGTTTTGTCCAGTTAACTCAAAAATAAAAAAAGAAAGCAGTCATCATGCCACAGAGTTATAAATCATTGGATTGGAAAAAGCCAAATATTGTACATGTAAATATGAGTATTAACCTTCCTGGCGGTATGATTATTTCCAATTTTTGGTGCTGAAAGCAATACCATTATTTTGCATGGAAATTTGGTGTTTTATATTGTAGGCCTACAATATTGTGTTTTATATATATGTTTTATATTGTAGGCCTGTAATTTTAAGGAATAACTCACTGAAATCTGTCTGAACAAGAGTCTATTAAACATCCCGGGTATGATAAAACTTGAAACACGAAATCATAAATTATAATGTAATAAATAATCATAAAAATAATAATATAATAAATTTAATTCAATAATATAATCAAACCAAAAACACTGAAATTTGAAATATAGCGCCAAGTTCGCACATCACTGAGCAAAGTCGCAAAATCGTTTTCAGTGTCTGATGACGAATTTCCCCACGAATCACTATCACTCAATTCTGCAAGTGGTTCTGATTTACTATCGCTGTTCTCTAGCTGGTCTAAAACCGCTTTTGACCTAAAGGGACGCTTTTTGGACGCCATGGACGTTTCTCAGTTTCCAGGCAGAAAGAACAGTAAAAATGCAGGCAGGGCACAGGACAAAGCACTCGGGACAAAATGTATGTGAAATGGTTTGATACAGGAATGTTTTTACTATGTGATTTTTGTGAATGTCACTTTTTGTCATTTTCAAATTTCCCGCCGTTCCGTCCCCCATACGTCCCGACGCTTGCAGGGGACGGAACCCAGATGACAGATGCCGGCATCCGCCGGATTACATTGCCGGGGACACTACAGGAGGGACATCGCGGGAGCGCAGGACAAGGTAAGTGACTGAGGGATCGCGGAGCAGCACCGCATGGTAAGCCCGAGTGTAGCTCGGGGTTACCGCTTATGGTACTGAAACTTTACACCGAGCTACACTCGGGAATACCGCCAGGGAGGCTACGATACTGCAGAGGATACAACAGTGCAAAAATGACCAACAGCAGAACAGTTTGATCAGGGATAATAAGTCTGACCAGTTTGGGCCTAACCTTTTTTTTTTTTTTTTAATCTATGCAGATAGGGGCTATAGCAAATATGAGTGATATAATTTGAGGTGATTAGGTGCACTCTGGCAAAAAAAGAAGAAAAAAAGTTTAACTATTAATATATAATAAAAAAAAAGCAGTTTAAAAAAATATATATATATATACCCCCAAAACATATGCAAATTCCAAAACATCGCCCCTAAAAAAAAGTTTTTTTGTTTTTTTTTAAAAAGAAGCCTTGCAGCAAAAAAACCCCAAACAAACAAAAAAACAACTATTGATTGGACAGCAGCTAAAATGCAACATATGACCTAAAATCAAGACAAAATAAATTACAAAAAGCCCCAGTAATAAGAACAACAACAAAACCGTTAATTGCCCAAAGAACTAGCAATCATAATTTAGGTACAGTTTTCTAACTGATCAGGTCCAACACCACACTCGTACTCTTCCCCCTTTGACCCTGTTACCACCGAGGAAATTGCCAAACTCCTTTTCGAGGCTCACCTCACCACTTGTCCCCTCACAATTAATGTGGCCTCCTTCCAGCTCTATCCTAAACTCTCTAACCCACATCTTCTCCATCTCCATCAGCACTTTTCCCTCCCCGCTCAAACAAGCCCTGGTTACCCCCATACTTAAAAAAAAACAAAAAAAACTTTGCTGGACCCCACCTGTTTGAATAACTGAAGACCCATCTCCCTGCTCCTGTTTTTTTGCCTCCAAGCTTCTCGATCGCCTTGTTCACAACTATAAGAGTTGGTACCTCACCGACAACTTTCTCTATGCTTTACAGTCTGGCTTCTGTCCACAACATTCCACTGAAACTGCCCTACTAAAATTCACTAACGACCTACTAACTGCTAAAACCAACAGCCATTACTCCATACTCATACTCTTAGACCTTTCCACTGTCTTTGACAGTTGACCACCCACTCTTCCTCAGTAAACTCCACTCCCCTTGGCCCTCGTGACTCTCCTCTTACCGATCTCAGCGCACTTTCATCATCACATACAACACCAACTCCTCTGCTCCTCTTTCTGTTGAGGTACCCCATGACTCTGTCCTTGGGCCCCTTCTTTTCTCTCTCTACACCTCCTCCCTGGGCCAATTTATAACTTCCCATGGCTTCCAATACTACCTCTATGCTGACGACACCCAGATCAGCTCACCCCCTTGATCTCCTCATGTATCACAAATCTACCAAGCAACTTATCAGTATGGATGTCACATAATGTCCTCAAACTCAATATTTCTAAAACTGAGCTTGTAATGTTTCCTCCTCCCCCCAATCCCTTACTCATGACTTAACCAACAAGATTAGCAGCACAACCATTGGTCCCTCCACACATGCCAGGGAGCTAGGTGTAATCCTACACTCTGACCTCTCCTTCGAGGCCCACATCCAATCACTGGCTAAATCCTGCCGCCTCAACCTCTGCAACATTTCCAGAATTCGCCCCTTCCTGACTAGCGACACCACAAAACAACTTATCTACGCCTTGGTTATATCCTGCTCTGATTACTGCAACTCCCTCCTCACTGGCCTACCTTTACACAGGTTATCCCCAATTCAGTCCATTATGAATGCTGCTGCTAGACGTATACACTTTAACAACCGATCAATGACTGCTGCCCCCTCTGCCAATCCCTCCAATGGCTTCCACTAGCTCAATGTATAAAATTCAAAATACTAACCACAGTGTACAAAGCCATCCACAACACTGCCCCTAGCTACATCATCAAAATACATTATAGAACCCCTTGGAAAACCCTCTTTTTTTTTATGGCACAAACAAAGCAGATTAGACCATTAAATTCATGAAACTTTATGGAACATCCTTTATTTAAACACAAAATGTTTAAAATTGCCATAGACATACATGATGTGGTGGTTATACATTACATATCTGTTACAATTAATGTACAGGCAGGAAAGATGGAATTCGAATCATGATAGAGCTTTTGACGCGTTTTCGAGATAAGACAATTTCTTCCTCAGAAGTGCTTAAATAGGACATGATGCATAGCCCAACATTGGAACAAAGATAAAGCCACAAACCAAAGAAGATATGTGTAGCCCCTGTAACCCAGAACCTCTCAGATCGGTGTGGGGGAAGGGAAAAGATGCTGCCCTTGTTGCTTCCAAGGGTGGCCGCCCAAGGGCGCCACCAGAGGGATCAGCAAGATATTTCAAAATTCCAATTGGTCCTGAGCAACGAGAATGCAAATCATCTTCCATGTATAGAGCCACAAATTGTTGCTGCAATCTGGCATGGAAAAGTTTCTTTGGTGTTTCACATGCACGGAAACGATGGAATAATCTGTCTGGTGGCTGCATGAGCACATTTTTAACTTTTATGAATTTAATGGTCCGATCTGCTTTGTTTGTGCCATAAAAATATCATAAAAAAAGGGTTTTCCATATGTAGCTACATCATCAACTTCATCTGCAGATATCGTCTGCTACGTTCCTCCAAGACATCTTGCTCTCTTGTCGCCTCTTGCCATGCTCGCCTCCAGGACTTCTCTAGAACCTGCCTTTTAGGTGATCTTTGAAAACTCACTTATTCAGGGAAGCCTACCCCACCTCCACCTAAGAACTGTACTTGAATCACCTCCATCAGATTATCCCCTGCAGCTATCGCCTTTTTTACCACCTCCCCCTCCATTTATATTGTAAGCTCCATGAGCAGGGCCCTCCTGTCACGTACCTGGTGGAGATCGAGCTGGAGAGGGGGCTTCTCTTGCACCTCTTGCCCAACACCCCTAATTGTGATGAGAGGGAGTGTGGGGACACAAGAGTGGCACAAGGGCCCTTCTAGCAGGTAGTGCCAGCTGGGGTTTCCAGGAAGCAGTTTAGCCAGGACACAAAAGGAGTGTAGCCCAACAAGGTACAGGAACATCAGGAAGAGACTAAGTCAGGATATGATCCAGGATCGGTAAACAACCAGGCAGCAAGGTACAGGAATGCAAGTCAGGAGCAGAGTCAGAATACAAGCAGAGGTCACAGAAGGCAAGCAGAAATCCAAGGATAGGTCAGGAACAAGCCAAATCGTGCACAGGTGCAGGTACAGCAGGTCAAGGCTCAGGTAAAGCTGGAACTAGCTGAAGACCACTCCACAATCCATACATGTCAGCGCGCAGCTTAAAAAGGCCACCAGTGCGCACACTAAGTTTGCGCAAGTGTGACAATGCCTGCCTTGTATTGCGCTTTTGCTCAGAATTTTGAGCATGCACATATACCAGCCTTCTCCTTCCAGCATGTACTGAGGTTTTCTTACACCTCCTATTCCTACTGTATTGTAATGGTACTGTTCCCCTTATATTGTAAAGTGCTGTGCAAACTGTTGCCGCTATATAAATCCTGTATATTAATAATAAAAGTGTCTCCCTATGCAGTTAGTGATATTTATATACAACTGCTTCAAATAGACTGACGCCCTGGCTGCTCCTTTTATAGTGAGGGCCTTACTCATCCAAAAGCCTCCTTAGTGGCCATTCTAAGCCTGCTGGTCACACTTCACAGACAATGCACTGCATTATGGTTTAAAATAATTATCCTGGGCGAATCTACTAATAAATTTGCCAGGACTGTGAATCTCAAACCCAGATTGTTCACCTCAAACACACGGTAAGGTTGAACCCAAACTTCACCCCTAATAATCATGGTTGAATCTTTGTGGTTAATTCAATGTTATTGGCAGGCACTGAAAACATTGACATTGAATGCCCAGCTCCAGGAAAAACTTTACATTCAATTTTCAATAGGGGTTGGCCATGTATGTTCCAATTGAAGGTTAACAGGCAAAAAGCAAAAAAAAATAAATAAGTAAAATTGCTTGATGTTAGGCTTTGGGCTGGATTTGAGCCTTTGCATAATGCTCAGTAAAAAGCATGCTTAATGGAAGTTAGCTCCATTCTAAAAAAAACAACTTGTCAAAGGCTTTGCAGATCTTCATGAAGCTAAGAATAAATCATGCCTGTGTGTGTTTGGGGGCTTAGAACTTTACTATATATAATATAGAATATATATTTTTCTATGTATTTCTGTTCAGGGCTTCCTTGGTTCCAGTGTTTTCCTTTGGGGAAAATGAGCTCTTTGACCAGGTGGATAATCCCAAAGGCTCCTTCCTCAGAAAAGTGCAGGAGAAGATGCAGAAGATCATGGGGGTGGCTTTGCCATTGTTCCATGCTCGAGGAGTTTTTCAGTACAGCTTTGGATTGATTCCCTATCGGAGACCAATTCACACCATTGGTAAGTTTTCCTTCCAAAGATTTTCAAAAATAAGTATTGCTGTTTTGCTGGTCAGGCTATGGGTAATCTACAGGGTGTCCCTAAAGTCTGGACACATAGGAAATATCTCTATATGTGAATAATATATCACTATATAAGCTCACCAGACCTTAACCCCCTTGAATTTTTTTTGGGGGGTATGCTAATGACGGTGTTCGCAATAAAAATCAGATATGAATCAACTGAAGGAGCGCATCATGAACGAATGTGCTCAAATTGATGGAAATGTGGAGTTACTACATCGGGTTTATGTGAATCTTACAAAGCGCATGGAAATAGTCCAATGAAATAAAGCATTTTTGAAAAATATATTGAAATGTATTGAAAATATGCATTTTGCATGTGCATGTGTCCAGACTTTAGGGACATCCTGTAGAGCAGCACTTTTTTGTCGCAATTCCTTATAAAATTATGAACAATCTCATGGCAGTTCCTTATAAAATTATGAACAATCTCATGGCACTCACAGAGTATAATGTAAAAAAAAGTGTACATTTTACTTATCAGTAGATCAAAGATGAATTCTCCTGCGCTCTAGGACCCAGACGGGTGGCGAATAGATGGAACCAGACCTGGAAAAATCGCCCACCAATGCATATAGGGTTGTGCGGCTCCAAACAAGGCTGGGGGAAGCCCGACCAATACTGCAGAACGGAATGAAAACGAGAAGCGCACCAACCTTGCGCATTACCTCATAACCAAAATTTATTAATTATAAAAATATACTCACAAACAGCGAATAAAATCAGGCATGTAAGTCCTCAAAGGGACTTGAAGATGGCACGAATCCAAACGATGGGATGGATATTCGGTGCAGCTGACGCGTTTCGAAGGGTGCCCCTTCTTATCAGTAGGACACCTGATTCTGAGACTATGCAATCAACCACCTTGATGATTCCAACTTTACACCAGAAGAACCTCATTCAGGTCCTCTCATTATATCAGAGGTCCCTCTATCACATCAGAGGTCCCTTCATCACGTCAGTCTCCCCATCATCTCATGGTCCCCCAATCACCACAGAGACTCCTATCAGAGTCCCTTTATCATATCAGAGCCTCCCCAACACAGAGCCCCACCCTGCCTCCCCACCCTGACCACACAATCCCTTCATCACAGGCCCCGCAACAGGTCCTGATCCAAGGCAAACTTGGTCCCATGCTTGCAGCACCCTGGTTGAGAAACACTGATCTAGGGTATGGGGTTTCCTATCAATGACATTACATGTTTCATTTTGCATTGAAAAAGCATCTCTAACTGCAATGATTATCCACCAGGTTTAAATGTGAGGCTACCACTGGGGAAATTTCCTCTTGAGTGAGACAGGAATTGGTAAATTTCACCATTTGTGGTTCATAGAACAAGAAAAACCATGTCAGAGGTTCTATCCCCACCCTGCTTTATCCAAAGATAACAAACTTTTTGTCTAGAGTTACATTTTAATGTTGACCTAACATCAGATTTTGTACATGCAGCATGCTAAGTGATGTGTAAGTGTTGGAAGACAACAAAAACATTTCCCCTGGGACCTTAATGCAGCAACAAAGAATGTATATCACAATATATATAAAAAAAGGTCTGAAAAATCAATAAAAATCAAATTTTATTGTAATTCCATATAAAACATTTGCTTGATTACAAACAAAGGACTCTGGTCTTAGCTACACAGCTAGATTAGTGTATTCACCTTCTTCCATGTATCATTGCACTATATCATCTAGTTAACATGATTTACAAAACCTTTGTGCATTAAGAAAGGACCGCATCAAAATTGCAGTGCAACATAACTTTCCCCAGTAATTTTTACCAACGCGTTTCAACAAAAAAAAATTGTCGGGAGGGGGGGGGGAACCCATCTCCTCCCGGGTAACCTGGACTCACAGGGAGCCGGAGCAGGGGCTGAGTGCGACTTTGGCTGGCTGCAGGGTGTTTTGCTGCACACACAAACATCTAGGACGTTTGGCGAGCCGTTCGCCCGTGCACCATGCAATGCAATTCGCTCTGGCGGCGCATTGCAATTGGCCAATGCATTGCACCTGACCACAGGTCACAGGGAGAGCCATGATTGGCCAAAGTCTTGGTGAGTTTGGTGACTTGGTGACTTTGGCCAATCATGGCTCAGGGGTCAAGTCCATGCCTCACACTATATAAGGCTGCTTATACAGCAGCCTTGTGTAGTGTGTTAGTGGAGTTAGGCTGTGAGGTTAGTTAGTGGTCTGTTAGGAGACAGCAGGGGCGGACTGACCATTTGGAAACTCAGGCACTGCCCAAGGGCCGGGGTCAGTAGGGGGCCCCATGAGATGCCCCTGGTACCTTTTTTTTCATAGGCTTTTTTGAGTTTGGGCAAGGACACAGGGGCCCCATGATCCCCTATTGCCCGGGGGCCCCATGAGTTGTCAGTCCGCCCCTGGGAGACAGTGTAGTGAGTGTAGTGCAGTGTTGTGGTGGCAGCGTGTTTTTACAATACTTCTGCATCACTGCTGTTCCCACTTTTTTTTTTCTTTGTTAATTTTTTTTTCTTCTTTTTTTTTTTTTTTTTCAGCATCAGGTTCTATTGCTGCATCTTTAGTGTTCCACTTTTGTGTTGCAGGTGTTCCTCCTGCGTTAGCAGTGGTTTCCTTTTTTTTTTTTTTTTTAATTGTTTTTTTTTTTTTTTGGCTGTGTCACCCCGCTCAGTGCTCACATGAGGCTTACTGGATAGTATTGCCCATCATATTCTAGAATGGTCAATTAAGGCACAGATATAATCAAACCGCAGCCACTCCAAAACTCCTTAGCCTCCAACCATGTATTAAACAGCATTCCTGCACTTGTCATGAGATCAACTGATTATGGCATATACTTGCAGTAATGGTCCCAGATTGTATGGGGGTATATTTTGTATAGCTGAGGATTAATAGTTAAAAGATGTGCAAATAGATGTAGTTATGTGCCAGAAACACACATACTGTATGTTGAAGCAACAAAATCAACTGTGCTTAAATCAAGCGGCTGATAATAAATATTCTGTGTCTGCAATGGTGTACAACTGGTTGAAGAAAATCTAATCTGTCGCCAGACAAATGTAAGGGAATTTCCAATAGATTGGTGTAGCATTAAGAGTATGAATGGGCAGCTGTATCACCAGCCACAGCAGACCAATATATTCAGCCCTGCATTTACAGGTAGGGGGCGCATGTGCGCCTCCCTACCCGCGCTGCTATTGGCGATCATCGGGTAAAGCTGATAGGGGAGAGACCTGTGTGTAAACAACACAGGTCTCTCTCCTGTCAGCATGGACATGCTGCTTTGTATCTCTCCATACAGAGAAATGCAAAGCAGCATGTCTCCCAAGTAAAACAGCACACAGTTAACCCTTCGATCACCCCAGATGTTAACCTCTTCCTACCCAGTGCCATTAGTAGTGTCAGTGCTTTTTATTAGCACTGATCACTGTATTAGTGTCACTGGGGGTGTCAGTGGCAGGTAATTCCCACCCAGTGTGCCCGCCGCAGTCCGCTGTAAGTCACTGATCGCCGCCATTATTAGTATAAAAAAAAAAAAATATTCCAGTGTATGTATAACACCATTTGTACACGCTATCATTTTCATGTAACCAATTAATATACAATTATTGGGATTTTTTTAGCAAAGACATAGCAGAATATATTTTGGCCTAAATTTATGATGAAATTTGATTTTTAATTTTTTTTTGGGTTGGATATGTTTTATAGCAAAAGTAAAAAATATAGTTTTTTTTCCCAAAATTGTCGGTGTTTTTTTGTTTATAGCGCAAAAAATAAAAAATGCACAGGTGATCAAATACCACCAAAAGAAAGCTCTATTTGTGGGGGAAAAAAGGCTTAAATTTAATTTATGTACAGCATTGCATGACCACGTAATAGTCAGCTAAAATAACTTAGCGCCTTATCGCAAAAAATGGCCTTGTCAGGAAGGGGGATAAATCCTCTGGAGGGCAAGTGGTTAAATGTGGCAGAGCCTGGGGAGCAGTGGACAGTGTCAGATGGAAGATGGACTGAGAGGAAGGCTGGAGTGGGGATCCTAGGAGGGGGCTTCAGGGAGGGGAGCCTACCTACAAGTTGGTTGCTGGACAGGATGATCTTCACTGCTCCACCATCTATTAGGGGTGGCATCCTGAGCAGCAGGGAAAAAGCCAGCCTAGTGAAAGGCCTGAAAGCAGCTACCAACCCACCACATGGACAGACAGTGTGAATACTTCTACACCCCCTGGGCCAGATAAAGGGAGAGAGTGGTCAGGTGCCAACCCAGACCCAACTAGTTCTCGTCTGGGACTACTTAATTGCCAGCTCTTAAATCCTTTGCCCAGGGATATGCTTAGTGCAGCCAGGTGAAGAGGAGGATTCATCTGGGGTCTGAGGTGGTACACCAAGGGGACTTCAATGCTCCTTAACCATTTGCCACCCGGCCTATAGCCGTTTGGCGGCCACAAAAATGCTTTAGCTTTCCGGGGTGTACGCCATTTGGCGTCCTCCCGTACATGCGCAGTTCGCACGGTTGCAGAGCCTCGCAGCGGAGCGATCTGTCACCGGCCGTGTACCTCGGACACGGGCGATGACAGATCTGAGTACCGGCCCCCGTTGCCGGTACCATGTGAGCGTCTGTGACCAATCACAGCCGGTCACATGACAGTTGTATACAATGGATGCCATCCATTGTATACTAGTGCCTAGCTGTGAATGGTCACAGCAGGTCACATGCACATGTCATGTGATTAGCTGTGGCCAAATCACAGCTAAGCACAAAAAAAAACCTGAATGAATCGATGTCATTCAGGTAAATGCTTGCTTATAGCAAAGTAATTCTTTGCTATAAGCAAATTGTGTAAAAAAAAAATAATTACTGATCACTTCCCCAAAGTAGTACAATGTTACTATGGTAACATTGTACTACTTTGGTCCTAGTAAAATATGAAAAAAAAAAATCTTAAAAATGTTTTTAAAAA